GCCCGCTCCACAGACGTGAAGCCCCACCCCAGGGCTCTTCTTAGCAGTGACGCCCCGCCCCAGGCCCCGCCCAGCGGTGAAGCCCCGCCCCGGCCTCGCGGGGACTGTGCGCCTGGCCCCAGCCCTGCTCTGCCGCTAGCGCTCACCTGGCTCGGGCGGTAGTAGTAGCTGTACTCCTTAGGGTCCTGGCGCCTCGGCGGGACGTAGCTGAAGGAGGACAGCGCGGAGATTGGCGGCTGCCGGGGCTCGCCCCGCAGCGTGGCGGCGGTGATCTCCTCGTCCTCCTCGTCGCTCCCATCCATCGTTCCCTTCGCAGCCACGGTGCGTCCCGCCCGCCCAGGGGCACAGTCCAAGTCCTTGGGCCAGGTTGCCCAGCGCCCGCGTTAGTCCGTTGCCTGGAAACCCGGGCTGGGCAACCAGGCCCTAGGGCCCGCGAGCGGGTGGGGGCGGGGCGCCTCGTGCGCTGGCCACACCAGGGAAGGGGGTCCAGCTGTGGGGCCAAGGGGAGACGCTGCCGGGACTGCCCACGCCCACCCTATCTTTCCTCGCGCGCTATTGGTTGCTTTACTCTCAGGTCACTCCTGTGGCAGTTAATAACCCAGCACCACAGTGCCCCCGGAGCTGGAGGTATGGCCTGGAAACAAGCAGCCCCCGCTCCTGGGGAGCTAAGCTCCAGTGGTGCAGACCGAGAAGAAAGGTGAAGACGGCTAGCAGAGGGTCTAGGGCGCCAGGGTCCAGCAGAAACTGAGAGCCACGAGTGTAATTCTACATTTGCTAAATAACCACATTGAAAAGGTGTCAAGACACCAGTAATATTAACTGCCCTATTTAACTCAGTATGTCCAAACATTGTCGTTTCAGCGTGTGGCACTAGCCACGTTTGAAGTGCTAAATAGCAACACGTGTCTAGTAGTTACAGCATTGGTCAGTGGTGGTGTAAACCGCCTGTGAATTAAATCAATGTAATTCAGAATAAGGCAAACTCAGCTGCTCTGTGGGCGTGTTCTAGAGACTCTGCCAACCTGATTATATTGGCTTGAAATGTACTGAGCTGTGAACTTATGATTTGTGTGTGTAGTGGGAGTCGGGGGGTCGCGGGGCTGGACATGGTGATAGGTTAAAAAGAAAAGTAACATGCTGACTAGTACTTGAGAGGCACACTCTAACCAGAGCCACAAAGGCTGGCTTAGGGATGCTGCCTGAGGAGCAGGCCTAGGAGAGTCTGGAAAGTGCTTTCAAGGAGATAGAAGGGCAGTGTGGCACCTGTGGGCTGAGCCCTTGGTGATGTGGTGAAGGATGCATTGAGGGTGGTGGTGCTTCCTGCAGGAGTAGGAGACTGGCAGGTGGACAGAGGGGCAGGAGTCTGATTGAGAGGTCTGTGGGACAGAGGAAGGAGCAGTGTCCTGCCTTCTCTTCCACTGGCAGGAATCTAGTTTACAATCTTGATGCAGGCTGGTGGCTTAAGATGCCCCTTTGCCCAGGCACCTTGTGGTACTTCTCTGTAGAATACATCTGGGCAGGATATGACTCTCATGTCCATGGGGTCACATTGCTTTCTTTGTCCTCATAACACGTCTGTGTGCTCCACCGACAGAACACACGAGTCAAAGATCAGACACCCTCCCACAGTGTTCCCAAGCCCCAGGGGCCAGGGAGACATATCAGCCTCATTGAGACCCCAGGAGAGGTGGACATCTCCCTGGTGTTCAGAGATAGATCACTTCTCTTTATTGTGAAGTGAAGGAGATGGGGGCTGTCATCTTTCTCCCATGGCAGAAGTCATGGGAGCATGACTCATGATTTTCTAGCCTCATGAAAATCAGAAAGAAAGAAAAAAAAAAAAAAACTTCTATAATCTGCCCCTTTTGATGTCCCTAACCTCTCTCAACCTTTCCAAAGATGGGACATGAGAGGTCTACTGAGGGTCATAGACTTTGCAAGCCTTGCATAGGTGATCTGGTGTCAATCTTTGTAAAGTGCAAGTAGTTGACACCAATTACCTTGGGAACTCAGCCAAAATTGAGACTGAAATCATTTAATTGCAAAGTCCTTTTACACCGCCATATAGAGGTGCATCTGTTAGCTTCAATTTAAGCAGGTGTCATTTTGTTATTATGAAAGGAAAAATTACTCAATGATACTTGCTAAAGCATAGTCAGGAAGAATTTACTCAGCACCATCACCTATATATAGGGACCCCAGTGGGGATTTGAGTGGAGGAGAGACATCCAGACAACTCCAAATACAGTACAGGCAAGTGGGAGTTTATAGCCAATGAGCAGGGTTGGGGTCCGTGGGTGAGAAGTGACTAAGAGCAAACATTAGGGGCACATGGATTCTGACAGGACAAAACTAACAGGATTCCTGCTACAGATGGGCCAGGGAGATCAGGCATGCTCTGCAGGATGAGGAATCTGATCAGATATGAAGGAAGGGGATTCTGGCTAAGCTGACTTAGCAGGGCTCTTTTGCTGAAACTTAATTTCACAAGGAAGTGCACAGATGAGCAAAGGAGAAGGTTCAGAAGTCTGATTAATGTTTGGCCACGCCAAGCCTCTCTGTCATTGTGTCCTAGATTGAGAGCTCTTGGGGGCAATTGAGAGCTCAGGGAGCCCTTTCTTCCTGGGTGGCTCAACTCCAGCATTCAGTAGGTACTCAGCAAGTGTTTGGTGACAAATGTGCACAGTTACTATAGATTGAGTTTCTTCTAAAAGATGAGACTAAACAAGGGCTTGGATAGGTGACTCCAGGGAGCAAGAGTGAGGAACCAAGAGGAATGAGAAGCAGGAGAATCCATGCCCAGATGCCTCAACCAGATCACTACTGAGGGAAAGTGGTGCTCAACTGGGTCCAGACCTTTCTGAGGAGCCTAGAAAACACCAGGGTATTTTCTGCATCAACGTGGATGTGTGTTTTATCTCTTGTTCAGTCTCCTTGGGTGGGGCTCATCTCTTGTTTGCTCCCAAACTTGACCTCTGCCCTGTGCTTCCATCTCCTTGGTGTCAGAGAAGCTCTAGGGCTGACAGAGAAAGGCACAGGGCATCTACTTGAGGTGAGATGCTGCAGGGTGTGTCACCGCACCATGGAGTGGTCCAGCAGCACTGAGAGGATGAAGGGCACGGTACCAGAGTTGCATCAAACAATAGGTGAAACAAATTTTGGTAGTTTTGAGTATTAAGATATTTTAATTTTTTTACAAATATCTTTCCTCACATTATCATATGTATTTCAGGTACATTAGTGGAGTAAAAAGTTAAAAAAAATGAGTTTAAGTCGCTCATGTCTGTAACTTACTTTCAAAATTATATGCCAGGAAAAGGAAGGAGAGAAGAAACATGCAAATCCTCCTTTGAAAGGAGGCAAATCAACAGGGTAAGGATAAAGTGGGTATGAGGAAGCTTGCAGAGATCAGATGAGCCTGAGTGTTTCAGATGCCCACTGCCGCACTATGGGATGTGCAGCATCTAGATGTCATGCCAGTCCCGTGGACTTTGCACTCAGAGCACTAGGCCTGATTTCCCTTACTCAGCTTGCTCAGGGCTGACCTTCTGTCTTCTTTCTCACTGCTCTGCCCTAGGTGGACCAAGTGCTCACTAATGGCTGTGTGTGCAGCACTGTGATGCTGATCTACCAGCACTGCTGCTGCTTGCATCTCTCTCCCTATGGGAGGTGTGAGCCAATACTTTGCAGGGGCATCATGAGGTTAGGGAGATGGGCAGTTTGCAGGAATTCAGAAGGTGGGAGTCCATACTGCAGCTAAATGCCTATGCAGTTTCTCTGGACATTTGAGCAAAATGGAAGCTTTTAGGACACTTGGTTAGATGCACCTTTTCTGTTAATCTGAGGCAGAGGAAGAGAAACCAAAGGTGGTAGCTGACATGACATTTTAGGTGTGATCTAGGTACATCTTGCATGGCACATATTTCTATTCATCCTGAGTCTTCATAAACTCTGACTTTTGAAGCTGAGAAGACCTATCAAGTTCATTATGCCAATGAGAAGACTGAGATGTGGGGGAGACTAAGTGACTGGACTCAGGCCACTTGGCCAGGGGATGCTTCTCTGAAAGAAATACAAAGTACATGCAGAGTGAGAGGCTGGCCAGGGAAAGACGCTTTCTCCTTAGGGCTCTCAGGCCACTCTGAGGCAGGCCATGGCCTTAATGGCATGATGCTCTAGACCCTGATTCACAGCTGTCAGGCAGAGCAGCCTCCTCATTCTACCTTGAAAACTAGTTGACTGAGGAGGAGAGGGAAAGCAGCCTACAACTGTAGTATAAAAACTCTCCTCTTCCAAACATCTTCTGTTGGACATGCAGAGGTTTTTAAACAAGCTTAATGTCTACATTTTAAATTTAAAGCATTTTTGATTATTGTTTTAGGATTGCACTGTAAACTTGTTTAAGTGGCCCAGCATAACTGAATTTCAATTCACAGACTCTGACATTTCTTAAAATGAATTGAAGAAGTACTTCTCTGCACTTGGTATCTTTTACCATGATTCTGAGTAAGTTAGATGGACCTTGAAACACTCATGTCTGGAGTAGCTAGGAGGAAGACTGCTTAGTCATTCATCCCAGGAAATTGAAAGGGTATTATGAAGTTGAGGGTAACATGCTGGTACTAGTTTGAAATCCGTCAGTGCTGTGGAACAATGAGGACAGCAACATGACAGAAAGCCACTGTCGATCTTTCAAAACCATAACTGGATCATGGACATGGGCAGTGGTCAGTGGTGGGGCTGAACAGACCTTTGCCTCACTTGATGTCTCTTCCCTGATAAAGAAACATAAACACTGTGAGTAGATTTGCAAAACATGCTTATCTGTTTCCAGTAGGCTGACCACTCAACTGAAGGAGGGAGTGCCCACAGCAACTTTAAGCATTAAACTTATGAACTGAGACTTTTAAATGAAAACTTAATTTTGGTTTGATTATCTTGTTACTTTTTAAATAAAAATGTGGGTTTTTTTTTTGTGACACCTAAAATGAAAACATTGATGACTGTAGCAATGAGCGAACCACCCTCCACCCTGCAGGGATCAGGGTCCCTGAGAAGAGGCTTAATCCTGGGCCTGAGACAGGAAAAGGGTAAGAAAATCCATGAACATTCTGTTTTACAAAGAAAATTTCAAAAACTATAACAAAAAAATATGACAAGGTCAAAAGGACAAAGGCCAACCAGAAGGGTACCCCACTGGTCCAAATGGATAATTTAAGCATCAAAACGAGATGTGCAAAGGCCTGAAGCACATCAATCATGTAGAAGTTCATGAAAACATCCTAAAATAAAAAACAGCTAGACTTCTAGCCATTTATTCTAAAAATTGATACAGGATCGAAGCATTTGTTTCTTGTCTATAATCCTTATTCAGAGTACACAAATGCTTGATGGGAGATATTTCTTCTTTATAAATAAACACAAGATAGTTAAATGTAGAAGGAATCAGAACTAGTGAAATGATGGATTCAGCCACGCAGATGCCAAACTCATTAGGGGAAAGGTTGATGTGTAACCCATGGTGTCAGATGAGGCCCCATAATATAGGAACTCGCTCATCAGTCTGCATCACCAAGAGGGGACAACCAGACGTCAGATACCATCACAGAGCAAATTCATAGCATGCCTATGACGCCTCGTGGCTCAAGAAATTCAAAGTGAATTCAAGCAAGCTTCTGGATATAGCTTTCAACTCAATAGGAAACAAGGCAGGTAGAGGAAGAAGAGAACAGTCAAACAACAATGTGGGCCATCTTACAAGGCAGCTCCTCTAATTCTTCCCACAAGTTAATGACATGAGAACCAGGCTAGGGTGGGGCAGTTATAGATATCAGAGCCTTACGTGGTGTAACAGACCATAGCCAAAGGTAACGTGCACTCTTTGGATTCTGACTCAACAAATAAATGAATTATTTTTGAGCCACTGTAGGAAGTAACCATAATGTAATATATTAAGCTACTGTAGGAAGCCTAAAATACAGTCCAGATATTAAATGGCAGGGAGCAATTATTAATTTTATCAGTTGCAATAATGGATGTATGAAATAAAAGAAAAAACATTTATTGGTTTTAAGTGCATATTGAAGTATTTAGATAAAATATGATAGTTTGAATTTCTCTAGACACATTCCAGTAAAAAAAAAAAAAGTGGGGGGAGACGGTGGGGGGAGAGAAAGGGAAAGAACAGATGAAACATGACTGGAAAATTATGGTAATTTTCATGCCAAATAGAGGGACTCGTGTGGATCCATTATACAATTCTTTCAACTCTTCTGTGATCAAATTTTTCCATAATAAAAGTTAAAAACAGTAGGGTTATTAGGAGATATTGTTTCATGCAAACATCAGATCCCAAAATATCAGTTCAACCCACAAATAGTGTGAATTATATGCCAGAGACAGTGGGAGTCATCTGGGAGAGAAATGTTTTTTTTTTCTGAGATGGGATAAAAAGTACATAAAAGCACAATTTCTTTTGATGGAGCTCAACAACCAGAGAGCATCAAAATAAAGTTAGGTTTTCTCACTGGAGCAGCATGGGAAGCTGCATACCAGAGGAACCAAGAGGCACCCATAGCCAAACAAAAGGACAGAGGCTTCTTATAGAACTGGGGGAAGGGTACCATGCAGTGAAGCTGGACCGGAGAGACTCAAGCACAGGGGATTTGCATGTCCTTTAACACCAAGCCTGGCCAGAACATCAGATTCAGGATCCTCAAAGCTACAAAGAAACGTTCTGTCCTAAATTTCCAAATCAGCAATCTGGTCGGATATGGAGAAAACTTCTGTATGTCAAAATGTCCCAGGTGGCTCAGATCCTGCAGATAGTCAGGACCCCACATTTTCTTGATCTGATTTCAAACAGCACAGGTTTTGCTAACCACAAAAACTTGTCACAGGCCGCAGGGGAACCCCTGGGTGTACTGAGCAGCAAGTCCTGTTCCTGCCTGCAGTCCAGTCCTGACGCGCATGCCTGTCCCCCGGCTGTGTAACTGAGAAGGCTACACTTAAACCCATTCATCAACAGCACCCAATATCCGCTGAGCACTGGCCACTGCCCAGGCACTTGGCCAAACAGCTTTCAAGGTATCTCAAGCTATCCCCCTACATGAGGTATCCAGACTCCTAACAGGTTTGGATGCATTTCCAGTTTGGGGAATAGCACCTTCAGAGGCTGATTTGCCTAGTTCACTGCCAAGAAGCCAAGCTACCTCTCTGGATTTGCACATGATCCAGCACGTGTAGCTTTTTCAGAGGGAATTCACTCAAATGTAAGGAATTCTGCTCCCTTGTAGTTTCTCTTCTATCTGAAAAATATTTACCAAGTATCCACATGCCCCCAAATGATCCAAGATTTGGGAGGATACTTGTCTTCAAGGTTCTCCCTGACCCCACGATAGGCATCTCTTCATACTAGGGCAGTGTTTGTGCTCTCCTATCTAGGCCTGGTTCATGCCAAGAGGAAGGTAAGGAAAATGGCCTGTTTTGTTCATGCAGAACTGCCACCATGCAACCCCCC